GAGAACCAAAGACATTGTTCTTTTCAGAGGCTGACAGTAAGTCTTAAAGACAGTCCTTCAGAAGCAATAGCAGGAGGGCAAAAACCTTCACACAAGAAACAGCAGAGGAAACCTGTCCATCTTTTGACCAGACCCCCTTGCATTATTATTGCCAAAGCCTGGACCTGTTGGAGCCCAGAGGAGAGTCACCAGAATTATAGCAGCTCTGTTTCATTCTCCAGGGTCCAGGCTTGGCTGCTCTCCTGGTGAATCTGAGATGTTCCCACCCTGCTGCCTCAAGGCTCCCCTTTTCTCTGAGCTCCTTCTTTTCTAGGTGTCCTCTGCCACACAGTATTTGCTGCATGGTATTGTTGGTTTGTTTTTTGTTTTTGTTTTGTTTTTTTTCTCCTATGTTTCCTAACTAGATGGAAGGGTTCAGACTTCATCACATATTCCCTCCTGTACCAGCCCCACACTTGACCTGAGTAGCTGCTACTGAATATCTGATTTGGTGATCAGATAGTTTTCCTGAAAGACTTGAGTTTGGCAATTTACCCTACAATTCAGAAATAAATGGGCCTATTTAAAAGTAAAATAAATGGATCTATTTAAAAGGCGCTCTGGTGGCATAGTGGTTAAAGCCCTTGGCTACTAACCAGAAGGTCAGTGGTTCAAACTCACCAGCCACTCCACAGAAGGGAGATGGGGAAATCTATTTCCATAAAAGATTTACAGTCTTGGAACCCTAATGGGGGTTGCTATGAGTAAGAATTGACTCAATGGCAGTCAGTTTAGTTTTTTTGAGTTTTATTTAAAAGCAGTAGGAAATTATGTCAGTGATGCCCCATAATACCTTTTAATTATGATATTTCTTACCAATTTTCAAAAAGAAAAAAGTTTAGAAATATTCTTACCTGTTCTACTTTCTTTTCGTAAGACATCTCACCTCCCCTTGCTTCCCATAAAACAGTTTGTCTTAGAGTTCTGGTGCTGCTGTATGTAACAGAAATTCTACAAGTGGGTAGTTGTAAAGAACAGACATTTATTTTCTCACAATTCTAGAGTTTAAAAGTCTAAATCAGGGTCTTGGCCATGTTGATTTCTTCCTTGTCAGTAGCCCTGGGCATTCCTTGGTTCATATGTCATATGTTGTGGATTGAATTGTGTCCCCCAAAAAATATATGTTTAAATCCTAACCAAGGTATCTGTGATTTTAATCCCATTTGAGAATGGGTTTCTTTGTTATGTTAGTGAGGCAGTATTCATAGAGATCAGACTCACTGCGGTCAAGTTGATTTTGACTAGTAGCAACACCTCCTTGCATTTCCTAGGCAGTATTGCTGTGGAAGTAGATTGCCCAGTCTTCCTTCCAACAGTAGCTGGTGGGTTTGAACCACCAGCCTTCTGGCTAGCAGTCAAATGGTGTGTCTTAAATCAACCTCTTTTGAGATATAGAAAGAGTAGACTGAGCAAGCAACTAAGCAAGCAAGCACAGATGGGGAGAGATGAATGCCATGCTACATGAGATCTCTAAGGTACCAAGGAACAGAAGCATGAAGAGACAAGGACCTTCCTTAAATACAAAGACAAAAAGCATTACCCTAGAGCCACCACCCTGAATTTAGACTTCTAGCTTCTGAAAATGTGAGAAAATAAATTTCTGTTTGTTAGTCACCCATTTGTGGTATTTCTGTTTTAGTAGCACTAGATAACTAAGACACCCTGTGTGCCTGTATCTCTATGTCTAATCAGCTCTCTTTATAACTCAGACATGATTATATTTAGAACCTACACTACTCAGGTATGATCTAATTAACATAACAGAGAAAATTCTACTTCCACACTGGATTACATCCACAGGTGTAGGCCCTAAGGTTCCAATACATATTTTATGGGATGGGAACACATTTTATCCATGTTGTTATGTGCCGTTGAGTCGGACGCGACTCATAGCGACTCCTCCTTGGGTTTCCGAGGCAGTATCACTATGGAAGTAAATTGCCCAACCTTCCTTCCAAAGAATGGCTGGTGAGTTTGAACCACCAGCCTTCTGGTTAGTAGTCAAGTGCCTTAGGCATGACACTACCAGAGAATAGGAAATCTGAACTAGGTCTGGGACAGGGCAGCTGGAGGGGCTGTCTTTAAATTATGCTTCCATCTTCTGGTAGACAAGTGCCTTTACCATAGTTGGAGGAGTACTATAAGTTACAGGCACCCCCTATGCATAAGGACCTGAGACTGGTGGGCGTGGCCTGCCTCCATGTCCTCATAGACTCAGGAAGTGGGTGGTGGTTGGGCCTTTGCAGCCTGAAATGCCACCTCCCCCTTGCCAGTCCTCCAGGCCGAGCCCACCAAGCACAGGGGTTCTCCCCCAAGAGAGCAGAGGTGAGGGCCCCTATGTCCAGAAGTAGCAGGGGACAGGTGCTAGAATGCTACCACAGAACCAGCTGTGGAGCCACCAGGAGGAGTCATAGAGTATGTGCCTGCCTGCTAGACTTTCTCCCTGATGAATCATGGAGGATGTACCACTCCTAGAGTTCACAGCCAGCCAGGCCCTGCTCTGCAGACAACACAGAAGGCACCAGCTGCTGGCCCCCTGTGGGCACCTTCCCCTCAACTTGACTGGCATCACTGTGAAGCTGGAGCCTGGCTCATAGAGCAATCTGGATTGAGCCAGGTGCCTCCTGATGGCCCTTTGCACTGACCCAACTCCCTGCTCTGAGAAGTGACTACTTGGATCAAATCTACTCCTATTCTTCCACTTACCCCTAGCCTCACCTTAAAGCCAGGGCTTGCTTCTCAAGGCCTTTGAGGAAAAACTTTGGGTTTTGTTTTTGTTTTTGTTTTGTTTTTTGATTCAAAATAGTTTGGAGCTTTACTGTTAGGGGCCTTTTGCATTCTAAGTTTTGAGTCCTACAAAAAAAAAAAAGAAAAGAAAAGAAAAAGAAGGAGAAGAAGAGAGATAGACCTCTCCTCTGCCTTCACCTAGAGCTATAGCAGATAACTAGCACCTAGCAGATAGCTAGCAGGGCTTCCTAAGCAAACCCTCCCAGGGCTTCACACCCTAAAGTCCTCCTCTAATTATTACTCCAAAACTCCCACCCAGGAACTATGTACCACTGTACACTTGCGATGTGCAAAGGAAGAGACTAAATTAAAACTGACTTTGACCCCTTTCCTCCCTCCCCTGCTCCATTCTCTCTCCCATCACCTGTCAGACCATGGGTATTCAGCAGGCACTTGCCCCACTTGGAGATTGGGTGCTGTAGAGACACAAAGGGCACAAAGGATGATTTGGCCCTTGAAGAGAGGTGACTTACACACTTCTACATTTGGTTTTAGGGTCAAACAGTCTGCCATAGCCTGAGAGCACACAGTCCAGATGGAAAGTACTCTCTGAGTCCCTGGGTGGTGGGCAGGTGGGTAGGTGGGTGAGCAGACCCAAGGAGTAGCAGACTCTCTGAAGGACTGATAATGGGAGTGGAAGGGACTCCATGTGCAAACAGCACCCAGCAATGAAGCTACCCAGCAATGAAGATAGTGCTGATGGTTGTGGCTGACCCATTGGTGGCAGGGCCAAATTAGCAAGGGATGGCCAAGGCCATGTCATCTAACATCTTTAGTTTGACTTGCATTTTTAAATTTAGTTAGTTGCTTACAAGATGGGAAATATCTGGCCCAAACCTAGATTCTGTTTCTCTTGGAAAACAAATAAGTATGAAGGAGCATTATCTTCCAGCAGGGCCAGCTGGAAGTTGGTAATGGTCACCCACACTAGATGCCAGTTGGCTCCTAGACTCTTGGAGCCCAGCAGCATAGATGCCTCACTTCTGCCAGGCCCAGCTCATGCCCTCATGATTCTCTACTGGCACCACTGGCCACCACCACCATCCCTCCCCTTCACTTGCCCATCTAAATCTTTTTCACTTTTCAGGTTCTCACCCATTCTCTGGAATCCTCTTCAGCATTCTCACCACTGTGAACTATAACAGCGATATTTATATTGCACATGTGGATAATCATAGCAGGGTCTCTTCTGGCCCTGTCCCAGACCTAGTTCAGATTTCCTATTCTCTGGTAGCGTCATGCCTAAGGCACTTGACTACTAACCAGAAGGCTGGTGGTTCAAACTCACCGTTCTTTGGAAGGAAGGTTGGGCAATCTACTTCTGTAGTGATACCGCCTCGGAAACCCAAGGAGGGGTCGCTATGAGTCGGGTTCGACTCGACGGCAGTGTGTTTGGTTTGTTTTGTTTTTTCCTAAGTCTTGGCTCAATAAATGTTGGTAACCACCATCACAGCTCTTGGCACAGTGCTTTGTAAGGGAGGAGACCAAACAATATTTAATTAATTACATGGAGGAAAATAGCATCCAGTTCATGTATGTGTATAAGAAGTCTTCCTCTGGATACTTTCTGTGCTATTGAAGCACTTCTTCCAACAAGGGAGGGAGGTCTGGTAGATTAATGCCTAAGGCACTTGAATGCCAGCCAGAAGACTGGTGGTTCAAACCTACCAGCCACTCCTCAGAAAAAAGGTTGGGCAATCTACTTCCATAGCGATACTGCCTCAGAAACCCAAGGAGAATTCGCTATGAGTTGGGTCCGACTCCATGGCATATAATAACAACATCCAGCAAGGGTAACCTGCCCTTAACCCAAGTTGAATGATGAGGAAAGTTTTGGACATAGCTGGTTCTAAAGGATTAGACATGTGTTTACAAAACTTTTCCTCAATAGGTAGCATAGTGCCTAAGGCATTGACTGCTAGCCAGAAGGCTGGTGGTTCAAACCACCAGCCACTCCTCGGAAGGAAGGTTGAGCAATCTACTTCCATAGTGATAACCACCTTGGAAACCCAAGGAGGGGTCGCTATGAGTCGGGTCCGACTTGACTCAATGGCACATAACAACAACATTATTGCCATTTGAGCTGATTGGCATTTAGAAACAAAAGATCCTTTCTCTACCTTCCTCACTTGCAGCCAGACTTCTAACAGCACTCTGGTATTCTCTCCTCCCAGCTTCCGGCCTCTCTTCTTCTCCGTCTACACCCACCCAGGTGACCAAGCAGCACACATTTCCTCTGGAATCCTATAAGCATGAACCAGAGCGATTAGAAAACCGCATCTATGCCTCCTCTTCCCCTCCAGACATAGGCCAGAGGTTCTGCCTGCCCTCCTTCCAGAGTTCGGCCAAGCCCCACTCAGCATCACCGACGCACGCTGCTGCCTCAAGAACTGTAAGTTGCTTCTTCCTTCCATTAGCAGGGGCCAGCCAGGCATCTGAAGTGGAGCAGAACTCATTGTTTTTCTGCAGTTTAATCAGTTTGAAGATAAACAGCTGAAGCTAAGGTTGTGCACGCCTGACATTTATAGTAGTATATTTAATCATATATCACAGACTTAGAAAAAAATTGTGAGGAGGGAAGGCAAATGGAACTAAAATGAAAAATGGTAATACCTACTACATCTGAAGGATGACCAGGGAACATTTTTCTCAGAAAATTTCTTCTCAGAAGTCCTCAGCTTCTTAAAAATCAGTCAAATAAAAGCTTTATTTGAATTGATCTTGATTGGGATATTAAAGTAGAAATCCATGGGCAAAGCAGAAAATAGAATTTTATTCTAGAGTTTTAAGATGTAACATTTGACATCCATTTGACTTGGGATGCCTTTGTGGAATGGGAGAGCTTTCAGAATGGAATGATGTGCTGGAACAGATGTTTTTGTGTCCTTTAAAAGATTAGCTGAGATGGTCCAATGAGTACAGGGGGGCTACATCACTGAGGCATTCTACATTTCAGCACACAACCCTCAGTGTGGCAGCCCTGTCCATTAGTGCCTGCTGAGTTCATTTTAGTACAGCAGGTGTCCAATATTATCCTGTGCCCAGTAACGGTATATGAGCCATATCACTGAAGTCTGCCTATACTGATGTAAGTACTTCATTCACTTACTACCTTTTGGGAGAAAGAAGAAGTGTTTATCATGCAGAGAAGATTCTATAACTATTATCCTTATTCATTCAATGATTATTTTATTAAGTATATGTCATGCTTAATACAAAAAAGTCCTGTTTTATTTATTTACTTTTATTGTGATTTGAGTGAGTTTACAGAGCATGTTTATTTTCCATACAACAGTTCATACATATTTTGTTTCATGACATTGATTACAATCCCCATAACGTAACAGGTCTCTTCCCACTTCCTCCATGTGGTTACCTTTACCCTGTGTCCTTCTTTCCTATACGGTCCTGCCCTCTATCTCCCTATGCATATACTGCCCTTCTGATCTCCCGTGGTTGACTGTTCTAAGGAGTGTACCTACCTGGTATAAATATTCACTATATACACCTGTCTATTGTTTGGCTGGTAGCTCTGGTAGCATAGTGGCTAAGACACTTGCCTGCTAACCAGACAACTGGTGGTTCAAACCCACCAGCCACTCCTCAGAAGGAAGGTTGGGCAATCCTACTTCCGTAGTGATACTGCCTTGGAAACCCAAGGAGGGGTTGCTATGAGTCGGGTTTAACTCGACGGCACATAACAACAACAACAAATTGTTTGGCTGGAAGCTACAGGAGTGAGTTCAATTGAAAGCCCAAAGGGTGACTAGGGATGTTCTGGCTACCTAGTGCTGCTCTGACAAGAATAAAAACCACAAATGGGATGGCCTTAACAAACAGGAGTTTATTCTTAAAATTTGGAGGCTTTAAGTCCAAGTTCAAAGTGCCAGGCTCTAGGGGCTGTGTGAAAGTCCCTTGACCTTGGGCTTCAGCTCTGCCTCTTGCTTCTGGCACACTGGAGCTAGAGACATCTCTTCACTCAGGCAGCTACTGGCTGCTGAGGCTAACAAGCCCAAGGTCGGCAAATAAAATGGTACAGTCCTGATGTTACCAAACCACATGGCAAGCCATTAACTCAAGTCCATTGTAAGTCCCAAGGTCAGCAGAGCATGGTAGGCTGCTGAACAATGATATGACTACATGCAGGGTCCAAGGGTGCCATAAACTAAAGAGCATTCCCAAAGCTCCTTCTTATATACAGGAAGCAGACTACATACCCAAAGGTAGCTACTCAGCTGCTCACAGTAGATTCCACCATGGAGTTGATTGCCAGTCTCATCATGGGGAATACTACATCCAGTTGCCCAGCCACTCAACCAGGCCTAGCCAAGTTGACACAAAAATGTAACCACCACAAGGGATCATAGTCTCGGAGGTTTTACCAGTCTCTATCAGACCAGTAAGTCTGGTCTTTTTTATTTTGAGTTTTGTTCCACATTTTTCTCCCACTCTATCCAGGATCTCCTACACTGATCCCTTCCCAAGTGGTTGACAGTGGTAGGTAGCCAGGCACCATCTAGTTCTTCTGGTCTCAGGGTCATGTAGGCTGAGGTTTGCATGGTCTACTAGTCCTTGGACTAATTATTTCCATGTGACTTTGTTTTTCTTCATTCTTCTTTGTTCCAGATGAGGGAGATGAGTTGTTGCTTGTTAGATGGCTGCTTGTAAGCTTTTAAGACCCCAGTCACTACTCACCAAAGTAGGATATAGAACAATGTGTTTGTGTAGTACATTATGCCAATTGAGGTTGATGTCTCCGTGATGATGGTCCCAAGCCCATGGACCCAGTGACTCATTCCCTCAGGGTGTCTGGCTGTGGCTAAGAAGTTATCATAACTTTGCCCCACTAGGTCTATTATATATATGAATATTCAAATACATATGTAGAAATATGATCTGTCAAACTTATATATGGTCATGGATATATTCCCTTTTGCCTAGACACACATGATCATTTAGCCTGTCTACCTATGTATCCACCCATAGATTAATGCTTGATAACATAGGATTGTATGTATGAAAGTGTTTATCTTTGTTCTCTGTACCTCTTATGTACCTCTCTGTGTCTTCCTTTTCCTTAGTATTACTATTTTAGCCACTCACTTTTGGTATATTGCCTTTCCCTCACCCAAATCAGTAATCATCTCATCCCAAGGGCACTGTTTTAAGTGCAAGGTACTGTTTTCTGTCTTCTAGAGCTTACAGACTTATTGGAAGCAGAGTATGCATTCAGATGAAACAGCTAAGTAAAAGTGGCAAGTAGTTGAATGGGGATAGTGAATGAAACAAATTAGACACTATAGGAGGTCAGAAAAAGAAAACCATCATTGGTCTGATAACAGCCCTAAGGGCTTCAGTGCAGTGGTGCCACCTGAGCTGAGTCTTGAAATTAGTAAGGCCTAAATAAGGGGAGAGGTGAAGAGAAACCTTTCTAGAAAAGAATAACTGAGGCTGGGTTTGGGAATGAGCATGAAGTATATATAGTCTGGCTGAAGGACTAGGTTACAAGGTGAGGACATGAGATAATAAGAGAAGTCAAGTGGGCTTGTGTCTGAGGAGGGTGGTGGCTGGTGGCAAACTGTAGGGTGGGTGGGGAGAGCAGCAGGGAAGTAGTCTAGTTGCACAGTAGAAAGGGTCTGGCCCAACCTACCTGTGGGTCTAGGAGGAAAGCCACCATAGTCTTAGGGGTCGAGGAGAAAGACCTAGAGAGGTTTCTGAAAGGGACTTGGTTACAGATGACCACACAAAAGAGAAGTCAAAATGGAATGATCCAGCAACCTGGAGATGATCAAAAACAGGAAACCACTGCTTCCCTTAGGGCAGAAGGGACAATGACAGGAAGTGGTATTAATAGCCCCATGAGGTGGCATCATCCTCCTGGAGGAGAAATCACAGCCTGGTGGCCTGGCTGGCACTGGAGCTGAGGAGAAGCAGCCACTGGCCAGAGGCATGGCACAGTCAGAGAGTTAGAAATCACAGCATCTCCCCCTCCTGCCCTGGTGCCAAGCCTACCCAGAAGCCAGTAGGCAAGGAACCCTGGGCTAGATAAGCCCCAGGTATGTAGAGCAGAGCAGAGTAAGAGCCTGGGAAGGGATCCTGGCATAAACAGAGAAGTGACTGGCAGAGAGACATCAATAGATTCAGATGATGTGAAAAGTCTCAAAGGATTGGCTTCCTCAAATTGACTAGCAATAATTGATACAATGGCCGCTTAAGAAGGGGCAGCAGTGTAGGAGAAAAAAATTATTTTGACTTCAAGTGATGGTGACACGTGAACAGGGGGGTTTTCCAAGATAGCAGTATGTTTCACTGTAGAATTCATGTTGGAACAAGCACATACCTGTCTCGGTTTAAATAAAAGATCCCTGTCAGTGTTTTCCTTTAGCTATGTCTGCAGAGTGATATTCTCAGCTATTTATAACATCATACAACCATGGCGCCTCCATCAAGGATAGGCCCTTCCAGACTTTCTAAGATGGTTCTGGGCCAGAGAAACAGTGTCCTCAGTCATCTCCCATCCTCAGCAATCAGCTTGGGTCATGTGCCCTCTCCAGTGCCTGTAACTCCACAATGCCCAGCTGGTAGTGTGGTAGAGCAAGAGTTCAGAAAGGATCCAGCCATGACCACTACACTCAAGTAGTTTGAGCTTTAAGAAATCAAAAGGCAGTCAACCATGGCCTCTGCTTCTGCTCTGAAGTGCTATCTCTCAAGAATCGGAAGAGGACCTCTCCACTAGCTACCTGACACTGAGCAGGCTCTTAGTCCCACTTGTGAGTTCTACCATCCAAGGCCTCCGTGGCCTTCTCCAACCTTGTGCTCTTCACAGCCTCTGCAGCCAAGGCAGGTGGACTTTGTGATTCATATAAAATGCATTACCTTCAAGCATAACTCAAAATGCACAAACAGCAGAAGAGAAACCAGATGATTGGGACCTTCTAAAAATTAAATTTTTATGTGCTTCCAAAGACTTCT